TCTCCTCCAGCACACTTCCAGGTCTCCCGGTTCCAAGCCTAATTCTCTTTCTTAAGCTTGCCAGATTGATTGGAGCTTCAGAATTGATATGATCTGTATTCTGCATATCTCATTGGCCCTTCCTTCAAGGATCAGCTGAGTATCCTCTGCTACAGGAAATCTTCCCTGATTTGCCCTTCCCCCAACCTACTTGTTCACACTCTCCCTTTCTCCTCATCCCCTGGATTTACTTGTTTTTGTTTGCCCCATTTTAGACATCCAGTTCCCCTCCACCAAGGGGCAAGTTTAGACAGTCCTTGGTGATGGTTCCCAGGCTCCCTGGCTCTCCCTTGAACAATGTTTTCTTTGGGACTCATTGGGGTAGAACAATAGTCACCAAGGAGAAGGAGGGGATTGTTTTCTTAGCCAGCTGACTGACTGGTTGTTTAACAAAGGAGTGTACAGGCTAATCAGGAGATTATCTAATATCTATGGTTTCCCAGGCCACTGAGAGATAGGCTAGGTGCCAGACAAGGTTATGGTGCCCTCTGGCCTCTCTGTAGGAGTCCATTCACTATGAGAAAGTCAATCCAAGATGGGGAGGGTTTGATTTAGAGATAGCGAGGTTAATCTTGGGCTCTAGAGTAGGTGAAGAGGGAACAGACTAACCAGCTAGTCTCCAATTCTTGTGAACTCTGGATGTGAAGCCAGGTGCCTTTCATTTTGGTATGTGATAGATCCACCCATAACTGAGCTTACTTATGCCCCAGAGTCCCTCCTTCTGGTGCCTCCCCCCATCCTGGAAACATGGAAACTCCGTGGGACTCAGAAACATGCCATTAAGACAGAGTACTCTATTCATTTCCATGAACACTTATTGAACACCTGGGCCTCAGTTTCCTCATCTGTAAAATGAGGGCACTGGACTGATGACCTTAGAGATCTGGGTCTATGATCTTGAAGTATGTATGACTTGGTTGATTGTGGTGACTCATTCCACCCGTGGAGTTTACAATCGCTCTGTGACATGGGAGATGATATTTGACAGTTGCTATGGTAGAAAATATACCTATTCTGTGGTCAACTTGGCTACGAGCTTCTCCTAGCTAGCTTAGGCTTTGGAGGAAAGACAGAGTCCACCAATGGCTATCATAAAGAGCCACTGTCTGCCAACCTATAAGAGGATAAAAATACTTGTACCAGCTATAACAAGAATCTAGGTGGTGCAACGTCTAGAGTACTGGGCATGGAGTTAAGAAGCCCAGAGTCCAATCTGGTCCCAAGCACTTTCTGGCTGTGAGACCCTAGGCAAATAATTAACCTCTGTCTCAGTTTCCTCAACTGTAAAATGGAAATAGTAATAGCATCTACTTCACAGGGTTGTTGGCAGGATCAAATGGGATGATTTTTATAAAGCACTTTTGCAAACCTATATCAATATATAAATATTATTATTGCTTTGCAGGATTGGGAAAAACACTCTGCAAATTTAAAAGCATCCCATAAATTTGTATGATCATTATTTCTAACTTTATGTAAAGGGTCAGATTTCCTGAGATAGTCAATCATTTAAAGGGATATCATTTATATACTTAAGAGAACAGGCATCCTTACTAGACTACAGTTAGTGTGCCAATTACTAATGGTCCTTATCTGTTTTTATTTAGTAATGGATTGCATTTCAGGGAGCATTCTAGAAAGGGGACTCTTGGTGTTATGGAGTCAGTCGTTGGAGCTTGGCTCTGGAGGGGAGAAAGACCTCATGGAAATCTTGGAAGCTTCCCTAAAAGTGGTCAACCAACCTTTGCTGGAAGACCTCAAAGGAATTGGAACCCAGACCCTACTGAAGCAGCTCATGCTACTTTTGGAGACCTCCAACTGCTAGAATGTTGTTAAACATTGGGTCATAGGTCATGTAACCAGAGCTGGAAAGGATCTCAGAGGTCATTGAGGTCAGCCTCTTCATTTTAGTGATGAGGAAACTGAGGCCCAAGGAAGTGGAGAGTGGTAAGCAGGCACCACAGTTATAATGTATTTTGGACACAAAAATTGCAGGGTAATACATCACAGAATTGTGGAACTTAAACATTGGAAGGGGCCTCAGTGGTCATTTAATCCAGTCTATACCTGAACGAGAAATGCCTTCTATAACCTTTGTGATAAGTGATCATGCTGCATATCCCTGAAGACCTACAGTGAACCCACCCCCTCATTGGGTCAGGGAGAATGAAAGCTCCTTGCCATTTGCCCCACCTAAGTGCAGGTTTAATTGGCAGGGGTGTCACCAGCCGGACCATAATGATTCATTTTTTCATGGGCAGAGCAATGGAGTTACATTGTTTTTCAATCCCCATTCACTGCAAACATCAATTCACTGGACCTCAGAAGCTCGAAGCTGGAAGGAAACTCCATGATCACACAGTCCAACCCTGACAAGCTCTATGAGGAGGGCTCAGGCAGCCATGACTCCAAGCCCTCCAGGGAGGGTGAGCCCAACAACCCCCCCCACCCTCACCCTGGCCACTCATTTACGCTTGGTTGTTGTTCAATCACTTAGGTTGTGTTGACTCTCCATGGACGCCTTTGGGGTTTTCATGGCAAAGATACTGAAGGGGTTTGCCATTTCCTTCATTTTACAGATGAGGAAACTGAGGCAAACAGGGTGAAGTGCCTTGCCCAGGATCACACAGCTAGTAAGTGTTTGAGGCCAGATCTGAACTCAGATCTTCTTGATTCTAGGTACAGCACTGTCTATACTACTCCACCTCAATGCCCTACAATCAAGAGATCAATATGACATAATCATTGTCTCTATGACATCTCTTCAAATACTAGAACATAACTATTATGTCCTCCCTTCAGTCTTTTCTTCTTGAGGCTAATCATCCCCCAGTCAGGGATGATGTTGAAATACTTTAAATTTTAACTTGTTTTCAAAAAAGTGTTATTTTCTTTGACATCTGCAGCTAGTGCTTATCGAAACACATACACACACACACACACACACACACACCCCACTATCACTATCTCTTTTCCTGTCTTTCTTTTGTGACAACAGTTCTCATTTTAGCCCACTTATTCTTTAGTATGAATAGAGGAAATATGAGGCTCCAGCAATCAAACAAATAAATATTAATTGAGTACCTACTATGTGCCAGGCACTATGCTAGTCACTGCCAAAAGACAAACGTGACACAATCCTAGCAGGTAAGACAACAGGAACACATGCGAAGTAAGTATCTGCAAAATATATTGTCCATTCAGAAAGTTCCCACATGTATATTCAACCCACTCCCCTCCTGTTCTATAGTCTTATATCACCAATTAGATAGTGGGAATTTTGAATCAAACGTCCCACAGACATTTCAAATTCAACATGTCCAAAGCTGAATTCCTTTTACCTCTTCCTACCAGCCTTCCCGATTTCTGTCAAAGGTACCATCAACATTCTTCCATTCACCTAGGTGTTTTAACCTTGGTATTTATTATCCTTACTGGGGCAGCTAGGTGGCATAGTGGATAGATCACTGGGCTTGGAATCGGGAAGACCTGAGTTCAAATCCCAGCCTCCGACACTTACTAGCTGTGTTACGCTGGGCAAGTCACTTAGCTCCTATTTGCCTGAGTTCCTCAACTGTAAAATGGGGACACACTGGAGAAGGAAAGGCCAAACCACTCCAGTATCATTGCCAAGAAAACCCCATGGACAAGTCCCTGGGGTCACAAAGAGTCAGACACAACTGAACAACAAAATATTCTCAGCTCCTTGATCATCCTCCCCCAACCCCACATCCAATCATTTGCCAAATCTTGTTGTTTTCATCTTCACAAGTCTTTTGCCTCCACTCCTTCTCTCCACCCACACAGCTGCCACCAGAGTTCAAGTACTGGTACACTCTCACCTAGATCATTGCTACAGTCTCCCTGTCTTTTTTCATATTCCAATCTACCTTCCTCCTGGTGCTTATCTGACCATATCACTGCCCTACTTGACAAACTCTAACAGCTTTCTATTCTTTTTAGTATCAAACTGAAGCTCCTCTTTGTAGCTTTTAAAACCCTTTGAAACTTGGCCCCAGCCTAGCTTGCTAGCCTCTATGGACGTCACTCCCCATCCTCTGTTCTGTGATCCAGCCGAACTGGTATCTTTCTGTTCTTCAAACATAGTCCTCTATCTCCTATCTCCATGCCTTTGCATGAGTCATTCTTCAGACCAGCCATGCCTCCTTATCTCTGCTTCATAGACTTCCTCCCTTCTTTTAAGAGGCAGCTCTGGCATGAGTCCTTCCAACCAACGTCTTATACTTATTTCTATTTGTTATTTGTTGATAGGGACAGTTATAGGTATCACAGGGGATATAGAGCTGGGCCTAGAGTTGGGAAGATTTGTCTTCCTGAGTCCAAATCTGGAAACACTTACTAGCTGTGTGACCCTGGGCAAGTCACTTTACCTTGTTTGCCTCAGTTTCCTCATCTGGAAAAAGAGCTGGAAAAAGCAATGGCAAACCACTCCAATGTGTTTGCCAAGAAAACTCCAAATGGGGTCACGAAAAGTCAGACGGGACTGAAAAACAACAACTTGTCGATAACAAGTACATGACAATAATTTCATTAAATACAATGACAACAATGAGACATAAAAACCTAGGAGATGCAGCAAAAGCAGTAATCAGAGGAAAATTTATATCTTTAAATGCTTATATCAATAAAACAGAGAAAGCAGACCAATGAATTGGGTATGTGATTTAAAAAACTAGAAGAACAAATTAAAAATCCCTGATTAAACACTAAATTGGAAATCTTAAAAATTAAAGGTGAGATTAATAAAGTTGAGTGTAAGAAAACCATTGAATTATTAAAAAAACTAGGAGTTGGTTTTAAAAAAAACCAATAAAATAAACCATTGATTAATATGATCTTTAAAAGAGAGAAAACTAAATCGCTAGTATTAAAAATGAAATGGGTGAATATACCACTAATGAAGATGAAATCAAAGCAATTATAAGGAGCTATTTTGCCCAATTATATGCCAATAAATTTAACAATTTAAGTGAAATGGAATGATCATGATGGAATGCTGCTGGGCTGTGGAAAGTGAAGAGCTGGTTCATTTGGGAGGAACATGGAGGGACTTGCACAAAAAGGTGAGGAGTGGAATGAGTAGAACCAGGAGAGCATTGTACATAGTAACAGCAATGTTGTTTGGGAGTGACTTTAAACAACTGGGTCATTTTGAGTATTGTAGATACTTAAGTCAACTGCAGGGGACCTGTGGGGGAGGATGCTGTCTACATCTGGGGAAAGAAACTGACAGATGGAGGTGTGTATGATATGTTTTTATGTATATACATATATTTGTGTCTAATGGTAGCCTTCTATAGGATAGTTTGGGGAGAGAGGGAGAAAAAAATTTAAACCACACAGAAGAAAAAGAAAAGTTAGAAAGAAGCACAGAAAAGCAGTTTAGCTTTGAAAACAATGTGCAGTACTTATTACATAATTTTTTTAAAAAGTAAACTGTGAAATGGAAATTTCCGGTTTTATGTTAAATCCTCTTTTTATGTTGTGCTGCATACATGGAAATGTTCTCTTTTTTTTTGTCTTTTTGTATTTAAGACCAAAATGAAAAATTTTTTTTTGAAAAAACAATATATGCACTTTTTTATCTCCCTTATTAGATTGGAAAATCCTTGAAAGAAAGGATTATTTCTTTGTGAGCACCTCCTCCCCCTGGGGATCTGTGATGGAGGGACCCTCCAGTCTCACTTCAGAACAGATACAGAGAGATCCCTTCCCTGCTTCCTAAAAGATCTGGAGACTCTTCTAATTGACCACTGAGTTGGAACTTTGTGGACATATTTAAGAACTCCTCCTTTCCCCATGCTAGGACACAAATCCCCTTCAGATCTTTTCTTCCTTCCAGCTTTGAAGTGTAGAGAGAATTCTCAGTCCTCAGGAGATTAATAGGGGAAGATGCCCTTCCCCCACCAGATCTGGCCCCATAAGCCCAAAGCCTCTGAAGCAAGACTGTTTCGGAGAAGGGAGACTTTCTGTTTGTATCTTCTTTCCTCTAGTGCAGGACTTTATGACATGTCAAAGGGCAGTTGGCAACTCCCCCCTTCCTAGGCACATGAGCGGCAGGGTGTTGGCTGCTGGAGCAGTTCCAGTGGAAACAGAGGCAGCAGCAGGAAGACTTACCCCCAGAGAAAAGGGCCACTAGAAGAAAGATTTCACTTAGTCCTGATCAGTCATTATTCAGAAGGTAAAAAGGGGAACAGCTCATTTGCAGCTCTGTCTTATACTCCCAACAAGGCTTGAAAAATCACCTCTCCCCTCTCTTTGTGGTGGTAAAGAACTAGAACCCAAGGAGCTGGGGGATGGTGGAACAAATCATTGTACGTGGAGAAGTCCAGCATGTGTAGGCAGGAGGATGTGCATGTAAGGACTTGCTTATAATGTGAGGCTATGCCATTACATGATACAATATTGCATCACCAAAATGTCAATGCAGGAAAAAAACACAAATTTATAATAAATCATTAAATTTAAGATGCATCATTTAAAAAAATTATAATATATATGTTTTTAAATGACGCAAATTAAAAAGAAAAGTTAAAGGGTTAAAGAAGGTAGATTTCCAGGTGGGAGCACTGGGTAATTTTTTTAAAAGGGGGTGGTAGGCCAAATAAGTTTGGGAACCTCTGATTTATAGACCATACAAACAACTACATGAACAACTTTGAAAGATTTAAGAACTCTGATAAACCTGTTAATCAACCATGATTTCAGAGGACTCATGATAAACCATGCAGCCCACTTGCTGACTCAGAGGCGAGGGACTCAAGATACAGAATGAGACACACATTTTTGGATGTGGCCAATATGCGAATTTGTGTTGCCTGCAAAATACATATTTACTACAAATATTTTCTTTTTCTTTTTTTAAGGGAGAGGGAGAAAAAATATGGGCTTGGTAACTGGAAAGAGACAGCTAGGCAGATAGAATATTCAGGCTCTTCTTGGATTCACATCTGGCCTCAGACACTTACTAGCTGTGTGAACCTGAGCAAGTCACTTCAACCTATTTGCCTCAGTTTCCTCATCTGTAAAATGAGCTGGAGAAGGAAATGGCAAATTCCTCTAGGCTCTTTGCCAAGAAAACCTCAAATGGGGTCACAAAGAGTCGGACACAACTGAACAACAGCTACCAAAAAAAAAAGAATGAAACAAGAATATTCACCTCTCAACTGTTTCTGATCCCCCTAAGCCTCTTAATTTCTTAGCATTCCCTTTCCTAAGTGGGAATAGCCTTACCTTTTCTGTGCCTGTTTTGTTTGTATTCTGGGTAGCTTTTTACATAATTGCCTTCTTTTTGGAGAAGATCCCTTGGACTAGCGGGAAAACCAGAATTGCTGCTCGGGAATCTGTGTGTGTGTGGGGGGGGTGGAACTGAAGCCAGGGGAGCCTTGGGACCCTATTAAAGAGACAGGCAGGCAACCTGAGAGCAATGAACGCAGGACAGATCTCAAGGGCAGGCAAAGGCCAAGGATTCGGGAGGCTGCCAGCCCCTGTGCCCTGAGCCTGGCTCTCTGATGGGTAGCTTTTGGACCTCCAGAGCTTAGCACAGTGCCTGGCACAGAGCAAATCTTAATAAATGCTTGTTAATGGTTATGGACAAAATAAACACAAGAATTGGGGGAGAGGTGACATTGTTGTGCTGGTGAACTTTAACAGTTCTTTTTGTGACTGCTTCATGACTTATATATGGGAACACAAATTCCTTGAGTGTTTTTTGTTTCTGACGAATTATTTTGAAATTCGTATACAAAATATCCCTAGGACAGGCTTGCTAAGATACCACAGCTGAGAAAATGTGCCTGGATCAAGTGATCAAATGTTATGCCATTAGACTGATTTGCTCAAATAAACAATCTAAACTGGCTTCAAAGACTTAATACTTGACCTAAATTCCATTGGAGGAAAAAAGTCAACAGCAAACTCACTCACAGCACGAGCTTTTGTTTTATTCTGTTTTGATTTTGGTAAAGAGACTACTTAAAGAATTAAAAATGGCTGCTTGGCTTGGAATCCTAGGATTGGAAGAGGAATGGAAGAAGAGGAAAGAGACCTCAGAGACAATGGGTCCAAGCCCCGGAAACATCAGCACTTTCCAAAATAATTTGGCTGAATGTATTCATGCCAGTGGCAGACTCACTCACCTTGCAAATTTGGGGCAGTCAATGTGGGGCATAAGGATAGTAATAGCTGACGTTTATTTAAAGCTTTAATGTTTGCGGAATGCCTTCCACCCGGTATTTCACAACCCTGGGCATTTGGCAGGAAAGGAATTATTGTTCCCACTTTATAGGTGGGGAAAATGAGGCTCAGCTCTCCCACTTTATGCCTGTGGGAGCTTGGGCAAGTTATTTTTTTCCTCTCTGGGCCTCAGTTTCTCCATCTGTAAAATGAGGGTGCTTGACAAAATGATCTCTAAGGTCCTTTAGAGCCCCAATATTCCACAGTTCCACAGCACCAACCAATTAGAGCCACGCAGGACTTCTAAGACCACATAGTGCAATTCCCTTTGTTTACAGATCAGGAAACCAGGGCCTAGAAAGGATAAAAAAAAAAAAACCTCATTCCATTTCACACAGGTAGTTAGGATCAGAAGCAGGATTGGAACCCTTGACCTCTGATTCCAGAGATCTTTCCCCTTTACCACACTGCTTCTTAATGACCTCAGGTTTAAGTTACCTGGGATCACTAGGTTAATATATACCAGAATGGGCTTGGACTCAGGTTTGCCAGTGAACCAGGCTGCTTCTAACCCTTATTTTGCTTTTTCATACTGAACTGTGGGTGATTTCATCAGTCTAAGGAGCTTCCTCTCTCAATGGAGATCAATGCAATTCAGCCCATCAGGAACCACTTATTAAGTGTTTATCATATGCCAGACAAGCGTTCACTGACTTAGAATCTTAGATTGCCACCTGGAAGGACTAAAAGGAGAGATGGCTTGTCCTGGGTCAGTATGTGACAAGGGTGGGCGTTGGACCCAGGTCATCCAAACCCTGGGGGGATTGCCTCGACACATTTCGAACATCCATCAGAATATGAATGTCCGAGCTAGGATCATTATTGGGACCTCAGAGATGTGAGTTGTGCAGCGCACAATCCCACCTAGTCCTACAGCAGGAACCCCCTGCCTTGAAGATACCAGTGAGAGGTCAAGGATTTCGAACTATGTGCCACCTTTCTTCATTTTATTTTTATTTATGCTAACAAGTGAGTCTAATACCGGCCGAAAGCTTTATGCTGGAGTATGTCAAGACGAGATTGATTGGAGAGAAATACAGGGTGGGATTACTAACAGAGTAGCTCTCCAAAAAGGTTAGAGGGAAGCACATCACAATTATCACCGTTTGCAACAGCAGTCGATTCTGCCTGTTTGTGACTGAACACTCATTTTTTTTTCCATCGCCTTTCTTGTTGCTATGTTAATATCACAGCCATGTTTGTGCTCATTTACACAGCTTTTAGAAACTCAATTTTGTCAACACTGGCAGCTTTTGACAGTGGAAATGAAAGGCCCTATTCTCTGGGATTTTCCAAGGAGCTGATGACAGCTAGCTCATTGAAGTTGTACATTTAGCAAGTGAACAGCTTATGAAACTGAATGGTGATAGAAATTTTTTAATGATATTTAAATGGCCTTGCTGGAAGCCCCCAGTGACCCTTTCCCTCTTTCGAAGCAAAAATTAGATTTCCCTATTGAAAGATGAGAGCCTTAAATGAAAAACTGAATGGCTAGAAAGGGATGATTTCTATAGCTTGGGCAAAGAGGGCAGAACTGGAGCAAGGAAGAGGGGTGGTCTGAGTGGGTCACCTCACCTGGCCAAGAAGCTTCAGTGGCTCACTATTGCCTGTAGGACAAAATACAAATTCCTCTCTTTGTCATTTAAAACATTTTACAATTGTGCTTATATTCTTCCTCTAATCCTAGTACTATTAATTGATTGTTCATCATTATTGCCGTAAGTCAAAGAAAGCATTAAGTATACTCTGTTTAAGAGGTTGGGGAAATATGGGATGCAGTTATAGAAAGACTTCTATCCAAAATGGTTAATTTTTTTAAACTGATACTTTACATGGTAAGCTTCAATTATCCAGAAAATTAACATCTGAGAAATTTCATTTCTCTGAGACTAAATAAATGAAGTGTATAGCCTAATTTTTTAAAAAAAAATTAGCCCTATACTGCATTTGTCCATTTAACAAGGATAGTTCTTTTGATGAGGCATTTCAGCATTTGTTTTTGAA